TTCTGTTTTAATATTTAGATCTTTAATCCATTTGGATTTTAATTTAGTGCATGGCAAAAGATAAGGGTCTAATTTTAATCTGTGTCAGGTTGGCATTCAGTTTTTCCAACACCATTTATTAAAGAGGCTATTTTTCCTTCAGTGAGGATGGTCAGCTCCTTTGTCAAAGATGAGGTAGCTGAGTACATCTGCATTTGTTTTTGTGTCTTCTAGTCTGTTCCACTGATCCTCAGGCCTATTTCTTTGCCAGTACCATGCTGTTTTTATCACAGTGGCTTTGTAGTATAGTTTCAAATTGGGAATTGTTACACCTGGTGCCATGTGTCTGTTGCCTAAAATGGCTTTTGCTATTCTAGGTCTCTTATGGCTCCAAATGAATTTTTGGATTTTTTTTTTCTAGTTCTGTGAAATATAGTGTTGGAATTTCAATTGGCATTGCGTTGAATGTATATAGCAGTTTTGGTAGTATGGCCATTTTCACTATGTTTATTCTCCCTACCCAGGAGCAGGGGATATCTTTCCATTTTTTTATATCCTCTTCAATTTCTTTTTTCAGAGTGCTGTAGTTTTCAGTGTAGGAAGAAGTTAAACTGTCATTATTTGCTGATGATTTGATACTCTACATTGAAGATCCAAAAAACTCCACCAAAAAGCTTCTAGACTTAATTGACAGATTCAGTAGAGTATCTGGATACAAGGTGAATACCCAAAAATCAATAGCCTTCTTATACACAAATAACAGACACACGGAGAGAGAAATAAGGGAAAAAATTCCTTTTGCAATAGCATCCAAAAAAATGAAGTATCTAGGAATCAATCTAACAAAAGTTTTTAATTTTATTAAATCATGGTGACTGTAATGATCATTACAGGATATCCAGTGGCTATTTATTTTTAACACAATGTAGAATGCATAAGAGTAATCCCCTGAATACATCAAAGTCTGTGACTCCTGAGTTACTCTCTTAAGAGGGTAGAAACATCCTTATTTTCAGAGCCAAACATAGTAATATAGAGAATGTAATGTTGAATATAATAGAGAATATTGAAGCTAGAGTAAGAAATTGTTATTTCAATCTTGAATCTTTCCTATTATATTACATATCACCTATTACATTTCCCTCTTTAAATGAAAGTTCATGATATTTCCTGAAAAGTTCTTTATAAGAGAAAAGAAAAACTCTAAAATGCTTTGTAAATAAAAGTGTTCTTAGCATCAAACAGCAGGAAACAAAATCTTTGCGAGTACTGGGCCACATTTCTGGTTCTTTTTCTTTTCTTACAGCTGTCCAAAAAAAAAGGTTTTTGAATTAGCCTAACAGTGTTACTCTATAAGTATTGATTGGATTCAGAGCTGTGAGTGATTAGAACTAGTGATGAGCACTAATTTGGACTAGGAAAAATGTGATTTTCACCGAAACGAATAGAATTGTACTCCATGGTTTTGCCCAGCTTTCCTGCATATTTGTTTCCAAGAATAAGCTGAGGGTCAAATGGCATAGAATGCATAATGTTCATAATATTCTCTGAGTCTTGAGCTGCTCAAAACCACTGAACAATACAGCATGTAGTCATGAGAGGAAGACCAAGGGACAAACTAAGTGAGCTCAAATTCCAGTTCCAATATTTACTCACAATATGAGCTGGGTCAAATTTTTTTGATTTCTTAATTTCTTTTGAAAGAGTAAAATGGTGCCTATTTTTTTCAAGTGATTGGGAGGATTACATGGCAGCATACAAGAAACATGTACATCAGTTAATAAAGTTAAAAAGCCCACAAAAAACTGCCACATTATCATTAAATTTTAAACTCACATGCCTTTGGTCATCCTTTCACCTGAAAACAACTTTCTTCAAGAAAAACGCCAAACCTCTTATACATGAGGAATGTCTCAAAACCTTTGTAATAATCAGGAGTGGTTCTAAGGAAAGAAGCAACTTTTACAATCAATGAGATTAAAAAGTCCACACACTTAATAGTGGTATTTAAGAGTATCTGGCGGGCTGAGTGCAGCTCAATGTTAAAGCAGTTGCCTAGCATATGAAAAACCCTAGGTTACATCTTCAGTAAGAAAAAGAGTCTGTAACCAAGACTTGGGGCAATTCTGAATCAAAGCACCAAATATGTAGTAAAATTTTCCCCTTTGCCTGAAGATTAAAATGGAGTGAGCGTCTTACATTCTGATCTACTCTCTTAACTTTTATCCTAGAGATCCTGGAAAGTTAATTGTTAAATTCATGATTCCGTGGATAGTGCATGCAAAACACTACAAATATAAATGTTTGACATTTTCCCATAAAATCTACATGTCTTTATATTATCTACTTTTCTGCAAAAAATGAATTAGCACGCCTTGGGAATATGATACTATCTAGTCCAAGGTGAGCATATTAAAAGCATAGCATTTATTTATTCTGCTTCTCAAAGGCATTACACTGAGTTGTAACACTAAATATATATTAAAATGAGCTCTACCTGATGATTATTATTAAAATTGAAGGACACATAAGAGGAGACTGTAGCAGGTCAGGGAAGGAAAGAAGGAAGGGGGAGATTAGGAAGGTCACTGGAAATGAATATTGGAGTGGTCACTGATGACTGGACAGGGTTCAGTCCTTAACAAGGACAGTGATGGCCCTTTTAAGCTATGAGAGTAATGACCTAAAATAAAAACCAAAAGTCCCTGTGGAAAAGAAGTGACTAGCCCAGCTTGACTGTGGGAGAGCATACTTAAGGAACCTATGATTTAATGATACAGAGAAGATCCAGATTATGGAGAGTTTAATCTTCATAAGTTTATGCAGAACTTACTTGGGGGGGAAAGCTAGTATATCAGAGAATAGAATGACGTTGGAATGTAGAGAATAAAAAATACTTATTTCCTTAGAAATGAGAAATCTGAGTAAGACTGGCATTTGTGAGGGGTGTACATATCTCTCCACTACACAATGTATAATGCCAAAAAAAATTTCTGTGTTTCACTAAGGAATGGAAGTCTCAAGCTGCCAAATCAGCTCAAAGTACAACAGAGAAATGTAAGATGGAAAACAGTTCACCAGACAAAAGGGAAGAGGATGGTAAGTCACAGCAGTCTCCAAGTAACCATACTGTGCAGATTGTTAAAAACGCCTCAAAAATAAATACCTCATAGAAGAGGGTCTGAAGCTTCACATTATTTCTGCATTCAGAAGTCAGACAGTACCAGGAAAGCCTCATCCCATCATTTTGTGTCATTCAGAATGGTGGAAAGACACTGTGTATTGTTTCTCTGCCAATTTTATGTGGTGTCCTCCAAGGGCCATCTTTGCCTTTCCTCTGAATTTCACCTCCTTGAAAGTAATCAGAATATTGAATCATCATCAATTCAAAAAGGAAGAAATAATAATGACCATTGACCTTGAGCTACTTTATTTTTCTCTTCTTCAGCTTCAGATTTTAAATAACTTCACCCATCCTTTCCTCCTTCTCCACTAGTTTAAAAATAGGTCATACATTTCTAAAGATTAATCCATATTACTGACTATTTTAACTTTAAGCCAGCAATAAGCGCTCCAGCCTTTCCACCTCAATATTTTGCTTTATGTAAATTTCTTCTATTCCTCCTACAAATATGTCAAAAATTCCTGATACTTGTTTTCACTACCACATAAAACAGTTATGTTTTATGCACTTGCTTGGTCTACCTCCTAATCCTTTATTTGTATATTCTCGCTGCTTGTATCTCCTTTCTACAACTATTTACATACATTTACATTAGCTATCACTATCATAAAATCAATGTTTTCAAATATTTTGATAACAGGAATACACATCAACTTTCTTCCTGAGGGATGATGTCATGCAAATTTCACAGGAAGGAAAATTTTAAAAGAAGCAAAGATGTCTCATACTATGTAGATAGAGCATTGTATATTTCTCCATAATGCTTCCCTGAAGACTGAATATCTTTATTAGAAAAATGCACACATATACCTCAATTTTTTCTGGATTTTAAATAAAAAATTATTTTTGCTTTGAAACATTAATGTTCTTCATTCCATCCTATTCTCTCTTTTTTTTTTTTTGTACTGTGAATTGTTTTGAAAAGGAAAAATTCTATTAATATATCCATCCTATTATGCTTTGTGAAGTGCAGTCTGCTAAAGATTCTAATTTGGCCCTTGGGAATTATTTTCACATTTGGGAAGAGTTCTTTTTCTGTTAGTGCATAATGTGGTAATGTGACACCAAAATAGGCAACAACACACGGAGTGATCAAAGAATGAGTCCGTAATGAAGCACAAGTCCATGTTGTTGCCACTGTATTATTCATTAGGACCTAAATCATTCAACTAGCCTGCATCTTTCTATTTAGGTAAATCATATGGGGAAAACAAATTTAAGTCACCTAATGCTGTCTCCTGGGAATACGTTGTCTCTGAATGGATTAAACAGAAAGTTAATTTCTTTTATGGTATTGGAGCCATTTCACCAGAAGCTTCAGTTCATTCTTATGTCCAGGTATGATGAAATGATTTTAATATTTCATTAATTTTCACAATTTAACCAACTTTAGCAATGTGACCATCTTTGCTTTCCCTTCTATTATTGTGCGCGCACACACACACACACACACACACACATTCAGTCACAAGTTTGTGCACTAAAAGATATCACTGCTTTTAATAAAATTTTTTCTTTCTATTAAAAAGATCTTTGGGATACCAAAAGAGCGCACACACACACACACATACACACACATTCAGTCACAAGTTTGTGCACTAAAAGATATCACTGCTTTTAATAAAATTTTTTCTTTCTATTAAAAAGATCTTTGGGATACCAAAAGGGAGACTGTCATTTTTCTCTGATCTGAATGAAGTCATCATTTTTAAATGATATTACTAGCATCTAGAATAGTTCTAAACACGAAAAATAGGTTATATTTGTCTTGCCTTTTTACTCATAGACTTTTGCAAAATTTATCTTAATAGCAATGTCTCCACCTCCACTCCCACCTCATCCATGTATCTGAATGTTTTGCTAAGTGCACACTTTCTGAACTTCCATTAGATATGTCAGTTGCTGTGTACTTTTAATTATATTAAATTTCATTATTTATTAAACTTGTGAGGAAATTTTTATTCTTATAGATAAAAACACTGAGGTTCAAAGCAAGTTAACTTCATTAAGATCATAGAGTCAGTATGTGGCAATGATTTGAATAGGATCATGCTCTTTTAAAAATTATTTTGTAAAAGCATTATTCACAATCATCGCTTTTGTATGCAGATAGTTCCCTGCTATGCCTCTGCACTACCAAATGCTTTGCCTAGTTAAATACCATATATTACAATACTTTTAAAATTTGTCCCTGCTACTAAAACCTTATTCATAGAAGTGAAGGTAGGGAATTCTATAGCTAGATTCATGAAATAATTTAGCAATTTGCTAAAAAAAAAGTTTTCAAGTCTTAATTAAAAGAATGAAAAATCATGTAAATATACACATATCCAGCTTGAAAATAAATAAATAATATCCAGCTTGGAAGCACATAGAAAAATTAAAACGGGGTAGAGGGAGAAGAGAAGGCATTTTACAAATGTCCTTCGGCTGTGCCTACATCAAAAGTAAATGATGAAATATGCTTTGGGCAGAAAGCTACATGAAGAGAGAGAACTGCTCCAGTATCTCCAACGAGTAGGACTTTTTCTGATTCCATGCAGAGGCCTGTGTGTAAGGACCAAGGAAAAAATACCAAATGAGAGCAAGTAGACACAATATCGGTGTCAAAAATTTCTACCCTTTGATTTGATTTTTTAGTGACTTCTTATTCTGAACTTCCCAGATAAAGTGCAATAGCAAATGCAGATGTAGCTGCTTACCTCCTAAATAAATAAAATATTAAAAAATAAGACTTTAAATAAGTTCCAACTGAGGAAAAGCAATAAGGAATGCAAAGCCTGCAGGAAGACAATGCTAGGAAGGCAGATTAACCATTTTCAAAGACAGAGAGGCCAGTCAGAAGACTACAAAAAAAGGAAGACCGAGTATCTTTGACACTCTGATGGGACCTGGAAAAATGAGGGCTTCTGGATGGCATAGTCCATACATGTAATCTAATGCCTTTATCTTTAGGTGATCTGGTATAACAGTTATGAAATTGGATGTGGTGTTGCTCACTGCCCAAGTGATGAATACTTTTATGTCTGCCATTATTGCCCATCGTACGTATGATTTATTTCATATGAATCATGTATACCCCTCTACCTCAAGGCAATGCTGGATCCTTCATTATTCAGTATGAGATGAAATTAGATGATGTGTTTTGTGGTAGAGAAGAAAACTTTAAAACAGGAAGAAGAGAAAGAATTTTGATTCAAAACGTGGGGCACTATGCAGAAACAAAATTATAGAATTCTAGGACTTATAAATTCTTTAATGTGGTAATTTTTTAACATATCTACAAGTAAGCTCTTATCTGGAAAATATACATCAACATATTCTAGAAATAAAATACTTTGTTTCAAACTCATTTACATTCAAGAGTTATATTGCACTCATAAAGTTAGATTGCTTGCACATACCCCAAGAGATTTGGAACTACCCAGTTTACTAGGTCCTTGATTTTTTTGAATGCAGGAAAAATCCAAATCAGAGGACCTGGACAAGGAGAAATGATTATAGCACAATCCACTGGATGTGAAACATCCCCCAAAAGCTCATTTAAGTTCAATACTCATGCCAATATAGCAACTTGTGGCCTTAGAGTATTCTCCATGAGTGAGCTTACGGGAGATAGTTCATGCATCTCAAAGGAGAAATGGCATCATATCATAGGGACCATTTTAATAAATTTCTGGTCCTATTATTTAAAGTAGATCAAAGGAATGTTTTGTCCCATGACCATTGCAGTAATAATTAAAATAAAACCATTAGCATAAATAAGTGTGTGGATACAACCTAAGGTCAGGGGTAATAGTAATGCAATTTGAAGTCTGAAGAATTATTTTCCCATGGACTGTTACAATTATAAAAGTTTTATTGACCAAATGTACATGTTTAGAACTAAACTGTCAAATGACCCAAAGAAAATAAAACCTTGGATCAGTGGAAAGGCCATGGGAATGTGAAACCTAGTGGAGAAGAACAACTAGAAGCAAAATTAAGAAACTGTTTATTTCATAAAATAATTTGATATTAATTGTCAATTCCTCAGTGTGACATTGGTAATTTAAGAGATACTGTGAAAGCAATGTTCAGATTAAACAGAGGATTCATAAATTGTACTCCTTTAAGTATTATTTTCATTCATTTTTTACCAATTCAATTGTTTTTGTGTCAATTTCAAAATTTTGTTAATATTTTTCAATCAGATGAAGCCATGTTTATCATCGTTGTTTATATAATAATCTTAGTTAAATATATCTACTTAAAACAAAATTTTATGTTACTATGGTAAATGGGAAACCAAACTCCTAACCATAGAAATATTTAAAAATTAAATTTAAAGAAAACAATAAACTTCCAAATTCTTGCTGGAGACCATTTGCTCATTATTTAAAAGCCAGATTATGCAACCACAAAAAGTATTTTAAAAAATAAGGTTTGGCATAGTAAGACTTGATCCTTAAAATAATCCTAAGAGCTGAAAAATCAATGTAAATACAATAACTCTGTCTCTTTGTCGCTGTGTCCCAAAGCTATGCAAAGCCATATCTATGCACCACCTGAAACCACTTCAATGGGTGTCACCATGCCCCTCTGTGAAACACTAGCCTAGGTCTCCTCAACCTCAGATTTCCCTGTATCTCCTCTGTGATTTAAACACTAAAGGTACAGGGAAAAGCAAATTGATTTTTTTTAAATGAGATTAGCAACAGCCTGACACAAGCCCTCTTTTGCAGTAGAGATACATGAGAAATAGGAATTGGAGTTCTCTGTACTGGCTTCTCATTCACATATGTTTTTGTTAATTTGGGATTATTTTTGTACTTCTTATGAGAGGTATATGAGAGCTTATGAGCAATTTAAAGCTCTCCCCCCCTTTAATCAGAACCTTTTTCTGCTATAATATACTTGTCTTCTTGTTGTAATTCCTCAAATACTAAATCTTGTATAAAATTGGGATTAAGGTACAATTTAAGATGCACAAAGTCGTAAGAATTCAGTCTCTATTCTGCTTTTGTGTTGTAATACCAACTAATATGTATATTAATGTATTTTATTGCTATGCAGAGGATACAATCCCGGATTAATATTTGCGCATTATGATGAAGGCTCTGAATGTGGTCACTGCCAGAACGATTGCAGCGAGGGTTTGCGTAGTAAGTTTGATGAAAAAGTCATTTTCTCTTTCCCTATATGTGGCTATATAACTAAAACAATGTTTGAAGAAAATTGGGATATAAGGGAAGGAAATATAAATATAAGGCCAGATGTATACATAGTTTATAAGAATGAAGATGTTATATCATGCAGATAGCTATGTGGGCAAATAAATCAATTGAGAGCAAGCGTATAAACAGAACACTAGACTGGAAATAAATATTGAAATATTACCCATAAAACATGAGAATTAAAAATACAGAGTCCACCAAAAAAGTATACATACTTCAAGAAAAGAAAAAACTTTCATAAATTCATACAGAATTTATTGAGACATAATGAGAGTAATACAAGATACCTTTGGCCTCTACAGTTACAAGAGGTCCTCAAGGTGGTGGCCATTAGGTTCCAGACATTTATTAGTATAGTGAACTGCTGCTTGGGTAACCTTGGTCATTGAGATCGCTGCACATGCATTTTCAATTTGTTCTCTAAAGGCTAACAGTGAAGTGGGTTATCCGTGACATCCTCTAGTGTCCCCCATAAGAGGGTAACACCCTCTCTTGAAAAAATAAATCATATTATTTTTCTTTTCCTAGCCTGTGTATCATTTTTTGGCAGACTGCATTTTTGTAACAGATTTTGCTACATCACATAATCTAAGTATTTTAAAGGGTTTTTGTTATTGTTGTTGTTGTTGTTTGTGAGTTTTTGTTTTATCCTGTTGTAATATGCTGTAATCATATTTTTCCTTGGAATTTTTTTTAAGGTTGAAAATATCTTCATTTTTTAAAAGGCAGGGGCTGAGGCATTGCTCAGTGGCAGAGTGCATATGAATCCCTGGGTTCAATTTCCATCACCAAAAAACAAAAATTGTCATGGTCTTCCATTAATTGTCATTGCCTACTTCAAGAGATCCCAGTCTCTCATGTGTACAGTTATTTTATTTATAAATCTGTATGCAGATTTCTCTATATTCAACATAACCATGCTTCTAGCTAGTATTCCATCTCCTCAGGTCGTTATTCTTATCCTTAAAACAATAGAATAAGTTAAAATAAACTTTGTTAATTTATTTCTTAAAATACTACTAAATTATCACCAAATATTCATTATATCACCAAGTGGAAATCAAGAGAAAGTTTATAAAATCTCCTATAGGAGATGGCACTGATTTCACCTCTTCTTTATCCATTCATCAGTTTATAAGCATTTGGGCTCTTTCCAAGATTTAGCTATTACAAACTATGCCACTATGGACATAGTTGTGCATATATTTCTGTGATATGATGATTTAAATTCTTTTGGGGAGTTACTGAGAAGGGGAATATCTGGGTCAAATGGACCTCTAGTTTTTTTTGAGGAATCTCCACACTTATTTCCTCTGTGGTTATACCAGTCTACACTCCCACCAACAGTAGAGAAGGGTTCCCTACACTCACAGATCCACAAGAGTTCACTAATAACTGATTTCTTGATAACAGTTCTTTCTGGGAATATATAGGATCTCATTGTTATTTTAATTTGCATCTCTTGAGTGACCAGTGTGATGTTGAACTTTTTTTTTCCATATATTTATTTGCCATTTCTACTTCTTCATCTGAGAAGCTTCTATTCATTCATATACCCATTTTTGTATTGGTTCATTAAATTTGGGGGTGGTCTGCTTTTTTTTGCATCCTTTATATATTCTAGATATCAAATCCTTTGTAGAAGGAACAGCCAGCATTTTTTTTTCATTTTGTTGGTTGTCTCCTCACTCTATTGGTGATTTCTTTTGCTGTGCAAAAGCTTTTTAATAAGATGAGATCCCAGTTGTTGATTCTTTGTAGTATTTCCTGTGGCATTAGAGTTTTGCTTATAAAGTCTTTGTCTACATCTATGTCCTCAATTATACCTATCCTGTTTTTCAGTAGGTGTAGTATTTCTATTTTAATATTTAGATCCTTGATCCATTTTGATTTTATTTTGTTTGTGGTGAGAGACATGGATCTAGCTTTAAACTTCAGCATGTGGAAAACCAGTTTTTCCAGCACCATTTATTAAAGAGGCTATTTTTTTCTTCCAGTGAAGGTATTTGGCTGCTTTGGCAAAGACAAAGTTTGGGTTATTTCTTCATCTTATAATCTGTTCCATTAATCACTGGGTCTGGTTTTTGCCAGCACCATACTGTTTTTATCACAGTAGCTTTTTTAGTATAATTTCAAGTCAGGGTTTGTGGGGTCTCCATCCTTGCCTTGGCCCTTATTTTAGAGTGAAAGATTTTGGTTTTTGTCCATTTGGTATGATGTTGGCTGTTGATTTGTCATAGATGGCTTTTTATCAGATTGAGGAGAAGACCACCTATTCTAATTTTCTGTATTTTTTATCATAAATGATTGTTGGACTTTGTCAAACATTTTTTCTGCATCTAGTGAGATGATCATGGGGTTTTTGTCCTTGGCTCTGTTAATATGGTTTATTACATTTATTGATTTGTGTATGCTGAACCATCCCCGGATCTCTGGGATGAGTCCTACTTGGTCATGGTGCATAATTTTGATGACTTGCTGCAGTCTGCTTCCAGTATCTTATTGAAGATTTTTGCATGTATGTTCATTGGGTATATTTGTCTGTAGTTGTCTTTTTTGTCTGGATCCTTCTCTGGTTTTGGTATTAAGATTACTTCCAGAAATGAATTTGGGAGTACTGCTGTCTTTTCAATTTCGTTAAAGAGTTTGAGAAGTAGTAGTAGTAGATCTCTAAATTTCTTGTACAACTAAGCAATGAATCTATCAGGGCCTGGGATTTTCTTTGTTGGTAGGTTTTTAATTAATTTTCAATTTCATTCACTGGTATCAGTTTATTTAGAACTCTTATACCTTCTTGGTTCAACTTTGATAATTCATATGTATCTGTCCATTTTTTCTGTGATTTCCATCTTATTAGAATACTGCTTCTCAAAGTATATACTGATGATCCTCTGAATTTCTGCAGGATCTGTTGTGCTTTCACTCTTTCATTCCTATTTGCACGGACTTGAGTCTCCTTTTTTTATTTATTTATTTTTTTTGTTTGTTTGTTTGGTACTGGGGATCGAATTCGGGTCATTGCTCTTGTGAAGCAGGCGGCAGAACTACTGAGCTAAATCCCCAGCCCTCTTTCCTTTTTTTAATTTTTCAAAAACCAACTCTTTAATTCATTGGTTCTTTCTATTGCTTTCTTCATCTCTGTTGCATTAATTTGTGCTCTGGACTTTATAATATCCCTTTGAGCTTTGGACTTGACTTACTCTCCTTTTCTTAGAAACTTGAGGTTCAACATTAGGTTGTTTTTCTGATGTGGGAATTCACAGCTATTTCCTTCATAGGCCTGTTTTCATTGTATCCCATAAATTCCAATATGTTACATTGGCATTATTGTTCAATTGTATAAACTATCTAATGTCTTCTTTAATTGCACCTATGACCATTGGTTGCTCAAGAGGGATTAATTTCCATGTGTTTATGAAGTTCTTGTGGTTTCTTTTATCATTAATCTCTCCAGCATCACTGGATGTGGAATCAATAAGGAATAAGAATAAAGAGTATTCTGATTAATCAGATAGTCTTTGTAGCATAAGCCATGCACAGATTTTTTCAAAGAATACATCCTTCTTGACAGCATATCCATTGCATAAACCAAATAGTAGATGATTTATGGTTGACTAGTTTAAAGCTTTTCATGGTGTTTCAGCATTTCAGAATGATCAATAATTCATTTTAGAATTATTAAAAGAGCTCTGGAGTATCAATTATGGAACCAACCACTTGGTTTGGGTCCTAACTCACCTATGTGGATCTTGGACACACAAGTCATCTGCACTGTGTCATGATCCCCTCATGAATACAGTGAAAATCATAATCGTAAACTCCAGACAGGCACTCAACATAGAGATGTTAATCAGATTATATTAGTTTGCATACACTAGACACTTAGAGTACTACTACATAAATAAAATCATTCTAAATAATTTTAAAATTATTTTCATTATTAACATTAATTGAAGATTGGTATGATTTTAGAGTCACTTTAGGGTATGCTCTGTAAGGTGGTTATTACTACTGATGATAACAACATATTATATGTCGTTTGCCTCTTTCCTACTAATAATATGTAAAACTATAGCTAAAATATTGTAGACCATATCTGCTGCTTAAATGTTAGATGACTGAGTGAATATTTATTGCATTTATATCTATATCTGTGTGCTTATGTATGTATTCATAAGCAAATATTTTAGACTGGATTTTAGATTAATTTTCACCTGTCACCTCTTCAAGAACTTTCACTAAAACAATAAGTATTCATGCTTATCAGTGGTCAATAACTGCATTCTTCTTTGTTTCAGCTAACCCTTGCAGATATGACAATAAAGGTGACAACTGTGATAGTTTACTCGACAAATGTGGTGATGAAGAAGTACACACCACTTGTGAGGCTACATGCAAGTGTATCAACAATGAAATATTATAAACTTGGTTCTTAAAATTTTCTATACAATAAAAATAATTATCTTGCAATCATAACGGTATATTTAATTGTAAAATGCAACTGCTGCAGGGTATAGCGGCACACATCTGTAATCTCAGCACTTGGGAGGCTTCAGCAGGAGAATCACCATGGGTTCAAGGCCAGCCTGGGTTCCATAGTGATTTCAAGGCCATCCTGAACTATATTGTAGTGAGATCCTGTCTCAAAAAAACAATAACAAAAACAAAACAAAACAAAAAAATCTTTCCATGTACTTTTGGATTTAGATTTAAGTATAGTAACAATTATAATGAAATGGGAACTTGCCTTTTGAAGAACTGATGCTTTAAGGTTTGAAACAAAATTTCTATAATATCTAACTTAAGTGTATGCTACAAGACTGACTTTATTTTCTCATTTTTAATTTCCTTATTGTTTTCATTGGCTTTCAAAGATATTAAAACAATATAAAATTATTTTAATACCCAAACTTCTTTCAACGTTTAAATAAAGCTTGGTTGCTTTATCTAATTCATCCACTGATGAGAATAACCAACAAACAAGCAATTTTTGTTTGCGTTTTTTTCTATACACAGTTGCACCTTGGTTCACGAACTTAATTCATTTCACAATTCTGGAAAAGATGGTCATGTTCGTGTTCATGGGGGAAAGATGACAGCAGTCATGTTCATCACCTCGTGTAGAATTCACACACAAAAACAAAATTTTGCCAAACACTTATGTTTGTGAAGCAAATTGTTCACAAACAAAAGTGTTTGTGAACTGAAGTACCACTGTAAGGTCATATTGTTTGTCTGGAAGCTTAGCTTTTCTTAAAGCTAGATTTATTTACAAATGTTGCAAGTAAAAATTGATTTTGCTACCTGCTCAGATATCTATCTGTTTCATTTGACTTTAGGATTTACAGTATCTGTATGTTTCAAAATTACTAATTATGCCCAAGAGCAGCTGATATTTACCACCAACAAGAAACTGAATAGATAAACTGAGTAGATAAACAGGAAATACTTTTCAAAATCTATCAAACATGATTTGATTCAGTGCACATGCAGTATGGGGCAGGTATTTCTCTTTTTCTTTTCTTTTCTTTTTTTTGACTTTTACTTTATTTTTTCTAGACATTTTCATTAGTACACATTTGCTATATGTGATGATTACATTCCATTGCCGTGTTGTTACATGTATAAAACAAGTCTTCTTTTTACTTTCCCTACCCCTCTTACTCATCCTCTTAAATTATTTTTAATTTATAATTCATTAGTACATGTATATGATGCATAATACATTTATTCATCCCGGGGAACTGGAATTAAGCCCAGATCAAATGGCAGAACTAGGAGCAGAAGCAGAGGCAGGGCTGCCAGGGGTCCGGAGTGGGGTTAAGGCTTGACTACAAAGGGTGTGGACAAATTTTGGAGGCTGTTAGGATTGTTAGATATCTCAATTATGCTGATGACTGTATAAAACTTTGTGTGTCAAAATTCATAGAAATTTACACTAACATGGGAAAATACTTCAGTAAAACTAGCTCAAACATTAAATTTAAAAACAGAATAAACTTAAATTGAGCTCAGAGTTGCCCTTTGAAGGGAGTTTATTATCATTTGCTGAGGAAGGGGCTAGCATTAGATGACACTGTTTCAGAAACTGAAGGAGCTTATACTGTTTCAGAAACTGAAGGAGCGCCTAGTGCTCACATCCAGGGCCATACCCAGCCCTGTAAGGTACAGTCAGCTGCGGTTTGGGTGGCGCTCCTCACCCTTTCATTAAGCTTACTTATGATATTCTGAGAGGGCTTCAAAGCTGTAGATAACAGAAGTCAGTCATGATCTTCAGCTAAGGTAAGATCATCACACACAAGGCAAGTTTCCGAAAGACTAATGCCCTAGTGGTGGGGGATACTGAAACCCAGGCTAGAATCCCAGCCATCTGCACTCCCCTTCCCAGTGGGGATTCAGCTACCCTTCACCAGCCCTCGAAGCAGGACAGCTACATTTCTAGCTGCTTAACCAACACAGGTTTATTCCTTCAAATGAAACAAAAACTAGGAAATTAATTGAAATAAGCCCAAACTACTCTCCAATGTTAAAAGTTCCCTTCCAGTCTATAGTCAACCCCCTTTCCACTTCAATTTTTAATAAAATAGTTATTAAAGTAGTTATTAAACATAAGAGATATTAGTTGCCTTTTATGTCTATTTGGCGACCTACTTATTAATAAATTCTTCAGCTAAAAGAGAATCTCACAAATTTTATTTTTTTATTTTAATATAATACAAGTAGGTATCAATAAAGAAAATATAGAAGCCATTCTATGAAAAAATAATTTTTCATAATAAAAATGATTAGAGAATAACAATGGTAAATACACTGCATATCATGATCTAAAAAGAATATATTTTCATTTGGTAACTTTCAGCTCATTTCCTAATGCTATACCTTTTTTTTTTGGCTTAAAACATTTTAAGTATTCATAAAGTATCTCACACTGTATAATTGTGAACAATTTCTTCCTATTTCACAGTATTTTTATTCTTTTTGGTCTTTATTTTCACTTACAATTTCTCACACCAAAGATACAATGCAACATTTAAACATGTGTATTTAATTTATTTCACTTAAGAGTATGTTCTCAAGGTGAATCTACTTACCTAAAAATGTCTCAAATGTATCCTTCTTTATGGCTGAATAGTATGCCATTATATATATATATATATCTATATATAGTCTTTAATCTTCTTTATCCAGTCATTAATTGGTGGGCACTTGGGCTGCTACCAAGATTTAGCTATTATAAACTTTCCTCTATAAACATGGGTGCACATATATCTCTGTGGTATGATGCTTTTAACTCTTGCAAAGATATCGGTAAGGGAAATAGAGACCTCTAATCCTAGTTTTTTGAGGAATCTCCACACTGATTTCCACAGTGGTTGCAGTGTGGGAAAAAATTTTAACCAGTGGTTCTCCAGACAAAGGATTAATATCTAGAACATATATAGAATTGAAAAACATCAGTCCACCAAAATTTAAGGACCCAATTCAAAAATGGGCATCTGAGATGAATACACACTTCTCAGATGAAGTAGAAACAGCAAATAAATACACAAAAAAAAAATTCAACATCACTAGTCATTGAGTCAACGCTGATTCCACCTCACCTGATAAAGAATGGCTATTATCAAGAAATCAGCCAACACAAATGCTGGTGCAGCTGTGGGGAAAAAAGACCCGTACTTCAAAAAAAATTTTTTTAAATTACTAATGATGCCTAGTTTCACTGCTTATAAAAGTAGCACAGGGCTGGGGATTTAGCTCAGTGGTTCCGCTGTCTGCCTCACAAGCACAAGGACCCAAGTTGAATCCCTGGTACAGGAAAAAAAAAAAGTGGCACACTTCACTAAATACATTACACTCCATCTCTTGCATTGTAGGTAACTTTCAACATAGTTGTTTTTGTTTGTTTGTTGTCAAAATATTGTATCTTTGACTGAATGTTTTCTTTATGCTTTGGGGCATAAACATACAAATTAATTAAAAATTAACAAATGTAAAGGCATGGAATTTTCAAAGGGATGAATACTTCCTGACATCACCATTTATTACTTTTATTGAGACAAAAACAAAGTCAATAATTGCTCTAAATTTTACAAGAACTGTAAATTCCTCCCTGTCTCACTAATATTTCGGTTTTTTTTGGGGGGTAGAGACTTTTAAGCTTGCATTATGAAAGCAGACATTAATTTAAACTACAATATCATCGTACTCAGGAGATTCAGAAGGAAAGTTTTACACTTGATCTTACCCAAAAGGCTGAGAAGCGATAGAAGGAAAGTTTTAATACTTTCTCAACTCTGAGCACACGAAATTTAGTTGAATATTTCACTGCTAACTGGGAAAAATATAATGCATATATTAAAAGTTAATGGGTATAAAATATAAAACAAAATTTAACTTTTAAAAAGTTAAACATAATTATAATATGTTAAATGTACTGAGTCAGTACACATTTACTATGGGAAGCAGAATCTGCCCAAAATGTTAAAAACTTGAAGCTAAGTGCAGTGGCATTTATCTAAGTGCCCTACCTACCCAGGGGGCTGAAATCAGAGAGTCACAAGTTCAAGATCAGACAGGGCAACTAAGTATGTTCCTGTTTCAAAATAAAAAAAATTCTATAAAGGAGCTGGGGATGTAGCTCAGTGATCAAGTACTTGCCAAGCATGTAGAAGGCCTTGGTTTCATTTCTAATAGAACCCAACAAAAAGAGTCAATAGAAAATTTTCATTCATTTTTGAATAATTAAGGTGAACAATTATTAATTTATTAAATAATCTTATAGGGTGTTCAATTCAATTCAATCCTCACTTTCATTTTATAAAGACAAAAATGGATAAGCAAGGAGGCTTTTACTTACCTTTTCTATGTATATTATATATACCTCTTTTTAATAATAGTACATGTGTAAAGGTTTCACTTTGTGGTGGGTTTTGTGCTGAGCACTTTAAAAGGATTTTCTCATATATTTGGGTTCTGCATGCACAGGCTCCATCATACATGACACAGCCTTCAAACGGCACAGTGACAACTACTTTTATTTCCACTTTGGAGATGAGGTAGGCTATTTGGCCAATAGTTACCTAGCTAATTAAATACTGAACCCAGGTTTGAAGCCAGGCCCTCTGACCTCTAGCTCATGTGCCTAACTGAATTAAAAATCTCCTTTCAGAAAGATATCATTCAGAAAGATGGCTTTTCTTCAAAATTAACCTGTTCTGGACCTTAAGCATCCTGTCTCTTGGAGTTTTCTTCATCGACTCTCTACTCTTTGTCCACTATCACTAGAATTTTTTCTTCCCAACAGAGTAAAGACGAAAACTGTACATTCAGTTAAAAAGAAAAGTTCTACTCACTGAGTTTCACAAAGCTCCATTAGACAGTAAATAGCATTTTGTGGACACTTCTAATGAAAAGTAAAATAGA